GTGGACCCCCCGGGACCCTTCCGGTGGTCCCGGTACAATACCGGTGACCCCTGAAACTTTCCCGATGGTCGAAACCTGACTTCCTATATATTATTCTTCACCTCCAGACCATTCCGGAACTCCTCGTGACGTCCGGGATCTCATCCGGGACTCCGAACAACTTTTGGATTACTGCATACTAATATCTCTATAACCCTAGCGTCACCGAACCTTAAGTGTGTAGACCCTACGAGTTCGGGAGACATGCAGACATGACCGAGACGCCTCTCCGGTCAATAACCAACATCGGGATCTGGATACCCATGTTGGCTCCCACATGCTCCTCGATGATCTCATCGGATGAACCACAATGTCGAGGATTAATCAATCCCGTATACAATTCCCTTTGTCAATCGGTACGTTACTTGCCCGAGACTCGATCGTCAGTATCCCAATACCTCGTTTAATCTTGTTACCGGCAAGTCACTTTACTCGTACTGTAATGCATGATCCCGTGACCAGACACTTGGTCACATTGAGCTCATTATGATGATGCATTACCGAGTGGGCCCAGAGATACCTCTCCGTCATACGGAGTGACAAATCTTAGTCTCGTTTCGTGCCAACCCAACAGACACTTTCAGAGATACCCGTAGTGCACCTTTATAGTCACCCAGTTACGTTGTGACGTTTGGCACACCCAAAGCACTCCTACGGTATCCGGGAGTTGCACAATCTCATGGTCTAAGGAAATGATACTTGACATTTGGAAAAGCTCTAGCTAAACGAACTACACGATCTTTGAGCTATGCTTAGGATTGGGTCTTGTCCATCACATCATTCTCCTAATGATGTGATCCCGTTATCAACGACATCCAATGCCCATAGTCAAGAAACCATGACTATCTGTTGATCAACGAGCTAGTCAACTAGAGGCTTACTAGGGACATGTTGTGGTCTATGTATTCACACGTGTATTACGATTTCCGGATAACACAGTTATAGCATGAATAACAGACAATTATCATGATCACAGAAATATAATAATAACCATTTTATTATTGCCTCTAGGGCATATTTCCAACATCCTCCTCAAACTGTATCTGGTTTTCCCCTCCCTTACTGTAGCCTATGTAAATCTTCAACCAAAGTCCCAAACTCTTCACCTTCTTACAAAAGTAAGCAACCATGTAAACAACCATGCACCTTCATTATTTTGGCACATAACACTGAGTTCTCTATAATGATACCCTTTTCACAATACTCCTAGGTTATTCCCCGTCGTGGTTCATGGACTTTGTCGGTCACAACTCCAGCTATGTCCTAGCAGTATCCTTCTTTTTGCCACACCACCTTGTTGAGTCACCCATCTCATATATGTCATGCCCAAAGGGGTTGTGACATATGAGTTAGCCTATATGCTAGGTGGTTTGAGTCGAATGTGTGTAACTCGAGTTTTCTTCATCGTCGATGCACTGGGGAAGGCAATTGAGTTCATTAAACATCGTCAACAAATCTTATGTGATTATTGCCATCATATGATCGAATACGTCTTGGATTCGAAATAATCCTATCAGACTAGTTCTTTCTCTATCTAGTTAAACCATGTCCATGATGTGCCACATGACACGAGCAATCTTTTCATATCAGAGTCGAGCTCACCATAAACATGGCTAGCAAACTTGCATCATCCAATATGTTACGATCCCTCATCGTTCACAGGGTGTAGGAACACAAGATTAGTGATACAATGATCATGGCTACCTCTGATAGCACAACAACGCGGAGTACACGCAATATATGGTCAAGGTCTCTCATGGTACTGGCGTTTGTAGTCTTCCATATGTATACTTCTTTTTTATTTTCCCTTCGTCGCTTTTGGACATGGCTCTGGATTCGGCTGCACCGCATTCGGCGATGAGGTCCATGGATGCACGGGCAAGAGGACCGCACAAAGCCTTCTGTAGACTATGACGAGAAAGATTGGGTTGAGATAACAAATTGAAGAAGAAGAAGAAAAAGAAGAAGGGTGTTTGATATTGGTAACTTGGTAAGAACATGTGGTACATTTTAGATTGGGTCTAAATAGATGGAGAAAAATACCTAGTCTCAGAGGATTAATTTCTCCTTAGATTTCTAACACGAGTTGCATGGTGTCCCACTGAGAAAATCCCACTGGGCAACGCCACCGTCCATGATGCCTCTGAGGGCTTGATCGAAATACCAGTAAAAGTCTTCATGGGCAAATTAGATATGCATTACAGTTTATGTTACCGCCTGGGGTGATTTAATAGTAATGCCACGTCTAAAGAGTGTTTCTTAGACCTCTCGTATGAGAGGTATCATATACTAATATTATGCATATAGTACTCCCTCTGTTCCAAATTACTCGCCGTGGTTTTAGTTCAAATTTTGAAATAAAACCACGGCGAGTAATTTGGAACAGAGGGAGTACTAATTTATGATACCATCTTCACAATGTATAGTATCACACACTATATATCATATTATCCCTTCATTTGTTCATTTTTAAATTGCCAATACAAAATTGTGACTAGAATTTATTTCTCACCAATTATTCTCATTTGACGTGCTATGATATAGTATCATAATATGATAGTAGAACTCTAATGCAAAAAATACAAACAAAAGCAAAAATATAGAAGAGATCAGGAGCGGAGGTGTTGTGTGGCGCGGATCATGCCGGCCTGGGCACGTATAAATAGCGGGCGCCAGCCAGAACAAGTGGCGGGCCGTATGAATGCAGACGCCGGAGTGGGTTTCTCGGCGGCCGCACTTGTTTAATCTTGGCAAGCAGACGGGTGTGCAACCTGTTTGAATGCGGAGACAATCGTCCGGTCACGTCGCTCCGTCATTGAACATGCACAGACCGGGACATGGCGTGAGCGCAGGGGCGGAGCCAGGATTTGAACATGAGGGGGGCAAAACACTATTTGACGTAAAAGATTATATATCACTGTATGTTAAACTCTCAATGATAGCGTCGATGATAAAGCATAGAATTGTGTTTCGTAACTATATTAAAAAACGATAGCTCTCAACAAACTGTTGAAACTTGAAGTTGAAGCAATTGGTTCGAAAAAGTATTTACCCCATCAGTTGTTGTTGTCTTTCACTTCATCTTTAACTACTATAAAAAAGATGCATAATTACTAAAATAATTTACTATTTTGTATGAAGCATTAATTAAGTACATTAAGTTCGTAAGTTATAAAAAATCCTATTACTATCGTTTCAAAATAATTCGATTTTTAGGTTGATCCTAAGTCAGACTTCTTCAAATTTGTGGAAAAATATAGCAATGTCTGAACACCAAATTAGTTTTGTTAGAACCTTTGGAAAAGAAAATCATGCTATGTACTTTTTTATGTTGATCTTATCATATTTTTCTATAAATTTAATCAAATGTACGCTACTCAACAAACGTAGAACTATAATTAATTTGAACGGTGGAATGTAGTATGTAGTGTACCTGCATCTGTTCTGCTCACCGGCGTCTACCCATATTTGCTCTGCCTGCGTCTAGCCCTCCCCGCACGTCGACAGCAGACAGTAGATCAATGGATGGTGCTGTTGCCGTGGAGAGTAGCGGCCAGCGGCAATGGCGAACGCCCTAGCCCCTAGCAGGACACGCTGATGACAAGCGGCGGCGACCGCGGCGAAAGCCCTAGTAGATGTGCAGCACACACGTACGTCCGCACATATCAATCGATCGATCTGATTGATCGATCTAAAAAATAATAGCCAGCCACAACCACCGTACATAGGTTATTGGGTTATATGGGCTTCTCTACTTCGATGATGTTTCGGTTAATTGCTAACATATGGGCTGGGCTAATTATGTAATTAGTTCCGGTCATTAGGCATACTAGCAAAAGAGCCCGTATGTTGCAACAGAAGAGAAAACATAACACACACTCTTAACCCAAACAACCATAACCCAAGACCACAATAGGTCCATCTCTTTTATTTTTTCGAGGTATCATATTTGTGTTGCTGCTTATCGTCCTTCTCACCCTCGCCGGCGATGACCTCGGTGTTCACACAAAACAAAAAAAACGTGTTTGAATATGTTTAATCCTAAGGCGTCTCTCTCTCCTTCTCTCCTCCCTCTCCCTCCCTCCCTTTCTCTCTCTCTCTCGCTTTCTCTCACTCTCGCGATGAGAAATCTGCTATTTTTCCCTGCGACATTTTTTAGAGGTATGCATGTGTAGTTATCGATGTTTTCTTTTCCCTATATTGTTATTGTGGGTTGTTTATTTGCAATCCGGGTTGCCGCTGGTACGAAAGGAAAACGGATTTTACGCTATAAATTATAAGTTTGCTCCCAAAACGATATTTAAAAAATATTTAACAGGTAAAATTAACATCATATTTAGATTCCACATATTTTTCTAATAAAATTTCATATACAATATGTTAAAATCGAAGTTACGGTTTAAAAGATATGGATAATTTAGAAAATCATTTATTTGACTTAAATATATTCCAAAATAATATTTAAAAATACTTAACAGGTGAAAATAATCTCATATTTACATTCTACATATTTTTCTAATCAAATTTCACATATAACATGTTCAAATCGGAATTACGGTTTAAAAGATATGGATGATTTAAAAAAACATTGTTTGACTTAAATATGATCCGCAGATGAATTACCTAAAACATCGGGGGGGTTTCGAAAATTGTAAAATAACGGTTCGGGTGTGACTTAAATCTGGACTGCGGGTTGATTTCAATAAAATATATGGACTTTTGTGTAAAATATAGAAAAACGATTCGTTTTAACTTAAAATAGAACTGCGGGTTGAATTCTCTGAAATAGAGGGATTTTTCTGAAAAATGTCATGATGGACGAAAGAAACCCAATTTGCTTTGTTATTATCTCTACTTCTCTACTACTATAAAATAAGCAAACGTTAACTCCCCTAAACGCACCCTGCTTACTGTACATAGAAGAAAACACATCAATTGGAGGGTCAAGATAAGCCTACTCAATGAGATCTAACCGTGAATACAGAAAAGTACCCCTGACGTTGTATGCTAAGCAATTTAGGTGGGCGGACGAAACTCTGCCGTCCTTCACCCAACGCCAACAAAAAGAAAAGAAAAACACACACCGAAACAGCCACATCCGCTCCAAAATTAGCGGCGACCAATCCTCCTGTCGCTCTTCAGAGTTTCCCTCCACCGAAACGCCCGCGCCGAGGATGCCCGCACCGACGACGCCGACGACGCGACATCCAGGACGACGCCCGCGACATCCACGATGACGGCCTCCTCGCAAGCACAGGTGCATGCTTTCTCTTCAATCTTTCAGACACCGTCGCCCACACTGACGCGACTGTCTCCGGACTGCGCATCGGCGGCGGCAAACTCCTCGGCAGGCTGATTTGCACGCATGTGAAGATGTTAACAATGACATCCGTTCATTGCTCCTGTTTCTGTTCTGCATAGTTCTACATAAATAGTGAAACCATGGTTAATCCACGTACTAGGATCTATGATTGTCCATGTAATCGATGCAAGAGATGAACCATATGCTGTGAGCATATGTTATGAAAACCAATCATAAAGTGCATGAGCAAGTGAAATCATACCACGAATCCTCAGCAGATCCCCATAGTACTGAAAATTTGATACCACTGACCTAACCTATGACTGAAACAAATCTTTGTAGTTTGCCACAATGTTCTGTTAAATTAATATGTACATATAAAATTCACACTGACTGTGACCTCTTGGTTCCGAACATTAATCTATATGAATATTATTACTAACTACAGAGCTACATGTTTACCGCCAATGTCCCCTCGAAATCATATTACCATAAGAAAATACACCCTATGCATGAGGCCTCTTGATCGAAAGCGACAATCGCGATTGAATCTATTACAAAGATGTCCCCTCAAAATCATATGACCATAAGAAAATACACCCTATGCATGAGGCCTCTTGAAAGCGACAATTGCGATTGAACCTATTATAAAGTACAACATTACATTTCGAGGTTGTTGGTTCCATATTCTAAATGATGGTCTTGCGCTCCATTAAATATAATGATCTCACATGTTTTTACAGGAGTTCGTATTCGTATGGGCCCTACCACTCCCAATAGGACCCCCACTCCCAGCAGGACGCACACCCCCTTCCAGGATATAAGCAATAACCAAACATCAGGTATTGATCATAACCCAGTCAGGACGCGCCCCCCTTCCAGGATATAAGCAACTACCAAACATCAGGTATTGATCATAACCCAGTCACTCAAGTTCGATACAGTATTACAACTGCTGAACAGTGTCATGGTTTGCAGACCCAAAGGAACTAAAAAGGCAGAGGGATAGAGAGCGGTATGCAAAAAATAAAGATGAGATTAATAAGAGAAGGCGTGAAGCATATAAATGAAAAAAATACCACTGAGGAAATAGATGGCCTACAAAACGGAACACCGGCACATCTAGCTGTATCAAAAGGTAATGATGATCAAATTTCATTATCTATGCCCCAATTGAATTGGCCTGTAATTATTTTTTCTTCATCTGTTCAGTCACTAATGAGACTAAGAATCGGAGGGAAAGGGAGCGTTATGCACATAATAGAGAGGAAATATTAAAGAGACAACCCCAAACCCGTGAGCAAAATAGAAATATTACTGCTGCTTCAGATGGCAGTAACCTTGTGTTGCATATGCCAGCTACTGGACAAGAGGCGGTCACCCAACTGCAGAACATTATTGCTGCTTTCAATGGCAGTAACCTTGTGTCGCATATGCCAGCTACTGGACAAGAGGCGGTGACCCAGCTGCAGAACATCACAGGCCCAGATGGTGCATTACCAACTTTAGGACCATACAATGGATTCATACAAACTGACAAGGAGAATATTTCTGACAATGATGAATCCGATTGGCTGCACAGAAATGATGCGTACCAGATGCAACGAAGTTCAAGAAGAATGACACTCACACAACTGGCAGGGGTTGACAACCCCCAAGTCAATATAGTCATCAATCGACGTACCCCAGGGGTAACTTTTCATGATCAGGGTTAGTTCATCGATTTAATTAAGTTGCTAAATTATCAATAGTGTTTGTTTCTCCTTTAATTGAGCACTCTGTTCTTCATTCGATTGAGACTAGCATTTGGTTCATCTCTTCGGTTCATCCCTGCTACTCCAGACCATAATACTTGATGGTATGCAAAATGGCAGTTTAAGATTCCTCTACCCCGATAATATGTGTCATAAGCGTAATTCACGTGACCTTATGCATCATAACTCTGTCCTATTCATGATTTACTAGACTGCTTGGGAGACCGGAACCTTGGAGAAACTGGTGATGTTGACCCTGATGAAGAAGCTAGGATGTTTGCTAGACCAGGTAGATTATTGCTATCATGAGTTATGAATACGACATAAGATAGTTATATGGTTTGTGCACAAACTTTAAATAATGCAATTGTCCATTCTTTTCCAGATGTTGATTTTGAATCCTACCGAGTGGCACGGCATCATGGTGATGGAACTATCACTAATGAGCATCATGACAGAGTTTACATGAACCTGCCCAAAAATCACCATGTACTTAGAAAAGTTAGCGACTGCTGCCACTATGGAGATTTGCGGTTCCAATACGAGGGCCCTGCATTTTGTTGCAGGAAGGGAAAAGTTGGTGTATTTACTCCAGAGGTTGATGAAGAGTTGAAACGATTGTTCACAAGTCAGGATGATGAGGATGCAAAATATTTCAGAGAGAATATACGGTATTTCAACTCCCACTTCTCATTCACCAGTCTTGAAGTCACCCTTGATCGTCGAGTCAGCACTGCGGCAGGAACAGGTGTATATACATTTCGTGCCTGTGGGGGATTGTACCACGCTCTTGATGATCTGTCGTCTGGTGATAATGGCCCTCGGCATTTGCAGCTATATATTTATGATACAGATGAAAACTTGCTTCACAGAGTTAAGAGGTCTCCGAATCTTAGGCTGGATCTCATACGGAAGATTCTAACAATACTAGAACATAACCCTTATGCTCAGGTTTTGAAGAGCCTTGGTGCTGTTCCGAATCTGGATGAATATAGGATCTCACTAAACACAGATATCAACCTCGATCAATGAAGGTACAATGCGCCAACTACTTCTCAGGTTGCAGCAATATGGGTTGAAGGAAGCGACCCACATAAAACCTTTGATAGGAGTGTTGTCGTATATGGTAAAGGAGACCCTGGTAAAGGAGACAGTCCCCTGTATATTAGAGCATACCATGGGTGCTACGACCCTTTGTCATATCCACTGTTCTTCCCACATGGGGAGATCAGTTGGAATCGTTGGATGCCATATATTGAGTTAGTCGATGACACAAACCAAGTTTCAGTGGATGAATTTGCACAACAGAACCCAGCCTATGGTTTTCCTTCAGGTTTGATGTTCAAAATATATCATATTATTTAAATTGAAACTTATGTAGTCATCAATCTTTCAGATGATAATGTGATTAGAGAACAAGTTGGTCATAAAGCACATCATTAAGAGCAACCCACTGATTTACCTCAAGGTATAGGTCGTCATTACTACTTCTATTATTCTCTAAATTAAAACTTATGCAGTCATCCATCTTTCAGATGATAACATGCTTAGAGAACAAGTTGGTCATAACACACAACATGAAGACCAACCACTGATTTACCCAAAGGTATAGGTCGTCATTACTACTTTTATTGTTCTTTAAATTAAAACTTATAGTCATCCATCTTTCAGATGATAACATGATTATAGAACAAGTTGGTCATAACGCACAGCATGAAGACCCACCCACTGATTTACTTGATGGTATAGGTCGTCATTACTACTTTTATTATTCTTACTTATGGTTCTACCTACCATAACAATTTTTATGTTGTTAACCAATTATTAGGTGACGACGATGATAACCCGGATGATGATTTTGGTGATGATGAGATGAATCCAACAAAATCAAGGAAATTTGTTAGCGCGAGAGAGTACTATTGCTTCAAGTTGTGTGTCCGGAAGAAGCTTTTTAACATCATCTTGTTCGGGGGCGTCTTTTCCAACAGTGGGCTGTTGACATGTATATCAAGATTGAGACAATGAGGCTTGACTGGTATTCAAGCCAGCAAATCAAAAGGTTATACGCGCTGACCTGTACCAGGTAACGTGCTTCTATTTATCACAAAATTTACATTATAGATGCCTCACTCTTTGCTTGAACCTTTATACTAATTGGAGTGAAATATTATTTTATTATAGGGTCTTGTTGACACCGTCGTTGCTGGCGAGTCACGCGGTGATTGAATTGGCAAGAGAATCGTACTTCCACGTACATTTCCTGGTGGTGACCATGACATGCAGCGCAGGTTTCTGGATGTGATGGCAATAGTTCAACGTTGGGGTAAACCGGATTATTTTGTCACGATGACATGCAATCCCTACTGGGAGGAGATAACGCAGGAATTGTTGCCTGGACAGCTGCCACCAGACCGCCTAGACCTTGTGGCAAGAGTATACAGAGCTAAGCAACGAAATATGATGGACTTACTAACTAAGGGTAAGCATTTCGGAGAAGTCGCAGCTTATGTACATGTCACAGAGTTTTAGAAGCGAGGTCTCCCGCATGAGCATATACTTCTAATCATGAAAGCAAAAAGCAAGTTAAGGACCCCAGATGACTATGATCGGGTGATATCTGTAGAGATACCCGACAAAAAGAAATATCCTGTCCTCCATGATCTGGTAGTCAAACACATGTTGCACAACCCATGTGGTGCACTCCAGAAAAGTTGCCCTTGCATGATAGATGGACAGTGTCGATTTCATTACCCGCGAGATTTCTGTTATGCTACATTACAAGGGAAAGACTCATATCCCATCTATAGAAGGAGGGACGACGGGGTTCGAGTAAGGATCAGAGGAGCAGATTTAGACAATAGATGGTTGGTCCCTTACAACCCCTTTCTGCTTATGAAATACAACTGTCACATAAATGTTGAAGCATGCTCAGGGATGCACACTATATATCTCCTCCAGAAGCTATTTACAGGATTTTTGGGTTTAAAATGTTTGGTGTTAGTCCATCTGTGTTACAGCTGCAACTTCATTTGCCAAACTTGCACACAGTCGCATTTAAGGGTTATGAAAATCTGGAAGATGTTGTCGCTCGCCCAACTTCTTCCAAATCCATGCTTACCGAGTACTTTGAGATGAACAAGAAGTATCCAGCGGCACGAAAATGGCTGTACAGAGAGTTCCCAGAACATTATAGGTGGATTGCCGCTAATAAAAAGTGGCAAACGAGAAGAAGTAAGAGATCACAGATTGGAAGACTGGTGTATGCACACCCTGCTGAAGGAGAGAGGTACTACTTGCGGGTGCTCCTAAGTCATGTCCGAGGTGCCACTTCATTTGATGATTTAAAAACAGTAAATGGCAAGCCATGCACTTCCTTCAGAGAGGCATGTGAGCACTTAGGCCTCATTGAGCATGACAGGACACTGGATGATTGCATGATGAAGGCAGCAACATTTCAAATGCCTTCTGCTCTTAGACAGTTGTTTGCGACTATACTGGTATTCTGTGAGGCAACACAAATCCGTCAATTGTGGGACAAACATCTACCATCGATGGCTGAAGATTACCGCCGCACTGAGTCGAACGAGGCAACACTTGAGCAGATGGTCCTTAGAGATGTCAGGGATCAGGTGCAATCCATGGGTAAGGATATTAAAATGTATGGACTTCCAGATCTGGTTGACATAGATGGTTCTTCTGACGCCGAGTATAGAGAGGTAACAGAGGAGAGACAAGTTAGAGTTGACCAAGAGCATCTAGATCTATTTAGCTGTTTGAACAGTGAACAACTGGATGGTTTCAACGACATAATGGATCATGTGACGAACCAAAAAAGCCAGATATTTTTTGTTGATGGTCCAGGAGGCTCTGGGAAGACGTACCTGTACAAGGCATTGCTTGCGAAGGTCCGTTCGATGGGCCTAATAGCAATCGCAACTGCTACATCAGGTATAGCGGCGTCAATAATGCCTGGAGGCCGGACTGCCCACTCCAGGTTCAAAATTCCAATCGAGCTCACTGACAACAGCATGTGTGGTTTCACAAAGCAGAGTGGTACGACAGAGTTTCTTAAACAGGCGTCCTTGATAATTTGGGATGAAGTTGCTATGACAAAGTGTCAAGCAGTTGAGACGCTTGACAGATCGCTACAAGATATAATGGAATGTCCTCTGCCGTTTGGTGGAAAGGTTGTTGGCTTTGGTGGGGATTTCAGGCAGGTCCTCCCTGTTGTTACACGAGGGACTAGAGCACAGATCATGGATGCTACACTGTTGAGATCCTATCTGTGGGATAAGATCCGCAAGATACGCCTCACGCGCAATATGCGGGCACAGGCCGACCCTTGGTTCTCCGAATACCTCCTAAGGATTGGCAATGGAACGGAAGAAACTATTGGTGACGACTATGTGCGTCTGCCTGAAGACATTGTGATTGGTTATACTGAGGACGAAGAACCTATTAACAAGCTCATCGAAGATGTCTTCCCATCCCTGCACACCAATGCTAGGTCGAGGGAGTACATGAGCAAACGTGCAATTCTCTCGACCAAAAACGAGCATGTGGATGACCTGAATGACAAGATGATCTCTAGGTTTCCGGGAGAAGAAAAGGTATACCATAGCTTTGACTCTACCGAGGATGACTTCCAGAATAATTACACGATTGATTTTTTGAACTCCATCACACCAAATGGCTTGCCTCCCCATGTCTTGAGAGTAAAAATCAACTGCCCGGTCATTTTGCTACGGAAACTCGACCCTCATAATGGCTTATGTAATGGAACACGGCTTATGATCAGAGCCCTCCAGGATAATGCAATCGATGCGGAGATTATTGGTGGCCAGAATGCTGGAAAGAGGGTGTTCATACCTAGGATCCCTATGTCGCCATCGGAGGACACCTCACTTCCCTTCAAGCTTAAGAGAAAACAATTCCCCATCCGCCTGAGTTTTGCGATGACCATTAACAAGGCACAGGGTCAAACCATCCCGAATGTCGGTATTTACCTTCCGGAACCTGTTTTCTCACATGGCCAGCTATATGTTGCATTGTCAAGGGGGGTGTCAAGAAAGACGACACGAATTTTAGCCAAGCCTAACAAGGAGGTTGATAAATCTGGGAAGAGCACCAAAAACATTGTCTATAGAGATGTTTTAGAGGGGTGAGGCAGGTACGATCTTTCGTGTATTCTTTGCACCTTTGCTTTTGTATCTATATAACTAATTCTCGACCTAACACTTTTCTTTCCTTTTATTTTCAGGTCTTGTTAGGGACAGAGTGTGAAGCTTCCTTTACTTTGCAGTGGAGATGAATGATACAATAAACCAGGCGCCAGATTAGCCATATTAGGGAACAATCTATGTTGTATTATGTGATATCTAAATATACTGTAGCGTTCTGTTCTGTTGAAGATGTTCTCGAACGCCAAAGTGTCCTGCAGTCTTTGAACCCCTTTCATTTTCTTTCATGTAAAGTTTTTTTGAAGATGTCTCCGGCTGTTGAGTAACTTAACTTATGTTAGCTATGTCATATATTTGTGATGAAAACTGCAAGAGTCTATGAGATTTGCAGAATGTAGTGAAGTTGAGAGGCATTATTACTACTGTATGAACA